ACTAAACTGGTGATTGGAAAATTAACTGAAACAAGGGAAAGAGTACAAATGTCGTTTTAAAAAGTTATATTTTTAAACAATAGCTTGTGAAGGAAAAATAAATACATTTGAATGAGTAAAAATTTCACAAACATTTTTATATCAGCTTTAATTAGATTTTGGCTGAATTCATTATCTTAATGGTTTTTCATTAGTGAAGCATAGTCATTATTTGGGATGTACAGTAGCGAGAAGAAAAACAAGGTAATTTTGGATTCTATTTAAAGAACAGCTTATGTATTAACAAGCCATTAATAAAAATACTGCAGTAATTGACAGAAAATTTTAGCATAAGAAAAGATTTTAAAACGCTGGTTGAATAAGGAATATTTTCTCACCCTGAAGAAAATGTGGTTGTTTGTTATGGAAACCAGCTAGGAGTGAGAGGTAGTTTCTGCTATGCATGCGTCAGAGATGCTTTGACTCTTGTATGCAGCTTAAGGCATCTGAAATCTTATGGACAGAGAAGAGGGGTACACCGCTGAGATCACTGACCACAGCTCTGATCCCGCTTCGCGGCAATCAGTGGCAGTTTTGCCATTAATTTCAGTAAGAGCAAGAGCAAGTCCGTAGAGAACAATCATCCACAATTAGCTTCTGAGGTTGCTGGGCCATGGAAGATCTATGAACCTCCATCGCTCTGCAAACGCCGTGGCTGTGAGAGCAGAGCGTTCAACTGCAAACGTGGCCTCTCGGCCGGGGGTGGATATCTGAGGGTCTGGAGTTCCTGGGTTTGCTGCGGGTGGCCAGGAGCAGCGTCCAGGTACACCCGCACTACCTAATCCCGTTCTCGCTCTGCCCCACTTCTGACTGGCAAGGGAGCAGTGCGGCAAGACATGCCATTTTTCCGCTGTGGCAATACGTGCCTTTTTTCCCGTGCAACGATGCACACCATCGTTCTGCTGCACGTCGCTCATTGGACTTGTCTTCATCATCTTAGGTGAGGAATCATTCAGGGTAGGCTGGGAACTCCTCAAAGCAGAGACCGTCCTTCTTCAGTTTTGGGATTGTGCTTAGGCCAGAGTGAGCTAACGTTAATAAATAATGATACTAAAGGTCACCACTATACAGGTCCATAATATTTCTCTCTGCAGATATTCCATCTGGCATGAGAGCTCAAGGACAGGCGTGTTTGACATTTATCATAATTCACATGTGGTCCTGCACTTTTCAGTGGAGCCTTGCATTATTCATCAATAGCCGGGGACCTTAAGTTTGTCTGGGTTTGAAAACCATGTCAGCCATTCAAAGCTCAATTCAGATCATCCCAAACTTCACCCGATTAAAGCCATGATGCTTTGTTCCTGCTGAAACGAAATGCAAATTGTTTTATGTTGCTCTATTTCAGATGTGTAAATGTCACGCACAAGATGTAGGGATTTTATACTAGGTTTAAGTTAAATGCAGTCTTTATTTAGTGTCATGTTTTTATTTAAAAGCATTTATTTAAAGTTCTAAAAAACAAAGAATTCAATATAGCAGGACAGGTGCAACTGCAAATGATTAATGATATAATTCTCGGTACTTTATAAAATGTCTAAGACTGAAGAGATTTATACAGTGCAGAATGGCAATGGTGTTTTGATGTAGGGAATAGGTAATCAATACCTGCAAGCTTAGAAAAAGTGTTCTATTTCCTCCACTAATTATATAGGTTCTTTGCAAGGCAAGGGTGTCTGGAGCATGAGACACTTAGAAGAAGAATTAATTTGAAATCTGTAGTGGAAGATCAGTTTCAATTAAAACTGCACTTGAATGTACATGGAAAAAAAGCAAGCAGTTAGGCTTAAACCTTCTCATGGTTACCAGCAAATAAATGAATCCCATGCAGCTCTTCTTGATTACATTTTTATAGGCATTTAGCTAAATTTTTCTGGGCATGAAATATTATTTATTTTCCTTGATTCTCAAACTCTAAAATGAAAATATGAGGCTTTCCTCCCCTCCTCCCAGCATTTTTCTTGTTTTAAACCGCTCCCTAAAAACAATACGGGCTTGGAGATATATGTATATTAGCACAGCTGTCCTGCGCACCTGCTGAGGACCTGGTCCTACATTGCTAGCTAGCTACAACTGCAAATGTAATAGTGCAGAGCAGACATCCTGTGGGAGTTTGCATGCCAGAAGTTTTGAAAGAAAATTTATGCAAATTCCTCCCTTTAAATATCTATATCTGTATATCTATATACATCTCATGCTGATTCTACATAGCAAGTCATGAACTTCTAAACCAAAGCTTAGCTTTATGACAGTAATATGCAGTGTCAGGACCTGTTGCCAAAGCACCTGTAGTAAGTTGTAGTTTTGAACTCCCGTGAGCGTGTTATTGCATTGGCATTTTTAAATGATTCAGGGCTAGTCTGGAGGTATTTTGTACATACTGTCACGTGCAGATCCTTCAGCACTTCCATAGGTAAATCTTGGATTCAAATTTAAAGGGAACTTCTAGCTGTATGGGAAGGGATTACCAAAGCAGTGCTAATAGGGTCAAGTGTCCAAGATCAGTCAAGTGACTTTAAAGCCTGGTTTCAGAAATGACATGGAGAGGTAGTTGGGGTCTTAGTCTAAAAGTCAGGCAGGTGGCAACTTAGAAACTAACTGGTTCAGAGGCATGAGCTTTTATAGGCCACCATCTGCTTCATCAGATGCTATCCATGGCACGGGGGGGAAGGTGACGTATGGTCTCAAAGTGCTTCAGTCATGTTTGCAAATGGGACTGGGGGAGCCTGAAGTGCTCAGAAGTTTTTCATGTGTTGTGCATTATTACGCGTTTGGTATTTTTTTATGTCAGGTTAACAAGCTGTTTTCACTTCAGATGGGTCCACAATTCACAGTTCTGATCTTCAGAAAGCACGTCACTGGCCCATTTTCAGAAAGGAGCTGATCCTGAAGCCCCTCTTCAAACAAATTTCCCATTGACTGTACTGGGAGACTCGAACAATAGCAGAAGGTGATAGCTGGCAGGCTTGCTACTTCTCTGCAAGGCTGGACCTTTTAAAATGTAAGAGATTAGCAAATGTCACAGCCTAAAAGCAAGTTTGCATTTAAATGCTCATCTAAATTGCCCCCAAATTTACCAGAAACAATTACTAAATTGTGGGAAAAATCTGTGTATAAACAAAGATCTTCTGTTTTCCTGGAATAGCATTTAATAACTCCATTTTCTCTAGTGATAGTACATTGGGAATTAAAGTGGCCTTTGCTAATAATATGCGTAGAATCAAGAGCTACATCAGATTTAAGTCTAGATTAGGCAGATGTCATAGATGATTTTTAAAGGACTTTTTAATTTTCCCCGATTGCCATCAACACATGAAGCTTTTTGTCCAGTTTAAGTTGTAGCATTTGTGTGCGATGATTAACGGAGTATGAAACCTAGGGATCTGTTAAGCATCCTGCGTTAGAACAGGCTGGAGGAGGCAAGAGGATGTCCTTATAGCCAGACTGGGTAGCACCAGTGACCAACCATCACCATTGCTCCAGTAAAATGGTACTTTCTTGAGTATCTGTGATTTGCTTATTTACATCACTTGCTCATTTGGAAGGGTAAAAAATGCATGTAGGGAGGCCAGGCTGCAGTGTGCAATCCACTGGTTCATGCCACGTTTGCCCTGTATGTGGTATGTTTGACACACACGTGTGATACATTTATGTATGCACACGCACACCTTCAGGGATGCTGTTGTGGGGGGAACTCACTAATTTATCAGGATGCGTTAGCATGCATCAGATTCACTCTGTCCTTCCAGTTTTACTCCTCTGAAACCATTCAAGTTGTGTGTGCATCTTATCCGCAACCTGCCTGGAGTAGTTTGAAATCCTGGGCAAGCAGCTTCTTCCCTCGCTCCTGCTGGCCTAGCTTAACATGCCCAGTGTGAGGCTGAAGCCCGAAGAACCTAGAATCAGCATCATCTTCACGCTGCTTCTTTTTTTGAATCGTTTACAAGTCCGTAAAAGCATCACTGTGAGTGAACGGATGTGGTCTTGAGTGGGTCCAGAGGATTCCTAGTAGCTTCTCGGTTTTTTTGCCAGCTTCTGAGCATGCATACGATTTAGCAGTGAATGCTCATTACCTGCTGGGAGGAAGACAGTTGCACAAACAGACTTGCGTTGCTCTTCTGAACTTTAAACGCTGCTCTGTGGAAACAAAAGTGTGCTGGGGGAGGGAGCGTGACAGGGAAGTGTCGGCTCCTGGCACTCTTTCCACTCTTGGCTAGCGATCACATAAACGTGGAGTGCTGTTGCTCCATGTGTTTATGCAAGACACTGCTGATTTGTCTGTGGAGCATCACACAGCTCCTATTCATCTTCTTTTGGGAGAGTGATTTAAACCAACTGAGAAATAACGTGAATAAAATTTGGGTAGTAAAGGGAAAGAAAAGCTAGAGAAGGGAGAAACAGGAGGAGCAAGTGATAATATTTTCCTCCGTGCTTTTTCTCTTGACTTGCATATAGCAGATTTGTTCACATTTAATTTCTCAGTTGACTAAGTCCTCTTTCCCTATGCCTGCTGACGTAAGGAAGTTAAAAAAATAGAGGCAATTAATGAATTAAACAAGCTGTCACACAATCTAGAGTCAAGGGGTTATTTGTGTGCTAATTACCTAGTGCGTACAGGTAAACCAGGCAGCCTCCTACAGCAAGTTGAATATTCCTGTAGCACTGCGCTAACTCATAACTCGGTCGAGAAGGGGTTGGCGTATTGTTGATCATTTTATAGAGCAACAACTTAAAATAACACCATTCTTCCTCACAGCTAGAAGCAAAGTTCGAGTAGTACGTGAAGCTAATAGATTTCAATCTTTTCACAGGTTTACATGTCTTAACCTTTTTCAAGTCCCGGAAATGTAGCAGCTGTATAGTTACTGTGGGAATTGAAATGCTTGATCTCCTTGCTTAAGATTAGTCTGTTGGCCATTGACTCATCAGGGCATTAAGTTGTTGGTCTTTCTTTTGAACAGGTACATATGGTCCTGAGCACTGGGTTACTTCAAGCGTGCATTGTGCAGGTAACCAGCAGTCTCCAATAGACATTGTGGACCACGAGGCAAAAGTTGGAGATGAGTATCAAGAATTACAGCTCGATGGCTTTGACAACGAGTCTTCTAACAAGACGTGGATGAAAAACACTGGGAAAACTGGTACGTTCTGCCCCACTGGTCTCCAGAGGCCTGTTTGCAATCCATTAAAAACTCAAGCCATAAGGTGTAAACCATCCTCCTCTCCCACATGCATCCGCTTGCCCTGTTTAGCTTTAACCTGAGACCTTCCCAGGTAAAGCAGCTGAGTGTTTCTCTTTGCATTCCTTGCAAAGCTAATGCTGCACATCAGTTATTAGCAGTTTGGTGAGTTCCTCCTCGATATAAAATCATTTTCTTAGTAACTAATTGTGCATCACAATAAAGGTTCGTGTGAGACTTTCAAGATGCATCCTTTAATTATTGGCTGTGAAAGGCTATAGTCTCCAGTGAAATATGTCCCAGTGCAGTGATGCCCTTCTGGATTTAAAAAAAAAGGCGGAGATTTAGAAGCATGTCAAGCAGAAAGGGCGGTAGCTGTGCAAAGTAGCGGTGGTTTTATTAATGCACTGTCGATATCATTACTATATTGAGCTCCACGCTGAAATTAACTCTCTTTGGGTCTATTTGTTCTAGCACTTTGATAAAAGAACCATCTGAAAACATTGCTTATTTTTTACCAAAACAGTTCAGCAAAAGGTCAAGGCTGATTTATAAGCAAAATTGCATGCATTTGATTACACTCTAATACAGAAATAGTAAAAAGTGGAAATCATAAGGAGAGCCTTTTCAATTGCAAGGTCAAGAACTTTCAGGTAATTGAATTAAATCTCTAATTATGTTTTATTTAGGGGATCTATTTTTATATCTTTATTAATATTCAGCTTCTGTCTCTGAGGTGCTTTGTACAACATTTCTCACCTCACCGCAGCTCCTTCATGTACGCCGGGCACCCTGATGTGTATATGGAGAATACTTTTTTGGCCTACAGTGGGCTTTGGTTAGGGATCTAAGAGATCAGCCACAGATCTCGTACCTGCCTTAATGATTAAAAATCCAGCACATACATCTTGGGAATTTCCGAAGAGAGCAGATGACTCGGTTTTTGAGAGAGTACCATTCTGGACTGTATGAAGCCTGGGGACCATTTTCAGTCCTGTTACAGACTTCCTGTGTGATCCCAGCAAGGTCTCTTATGGTATGTCTGTACTATCTCCTAGCTGAATGCAGACCCACAACCTCTTGCACCTACACAACCTGCAAACCAGCTCGCAAAATAAGCTGCATAGATGGCTTAGGGCCTTAGGGCATCCATGAGGCACATGCGCTTTGTGTCTCAGGTCGCCAGCTGTACAATGGGAAGAATAGGATTGCCTCGACTGCTTGTGGTATGTAGATAAATCTGTTCAAAATTGCCAAGTGCTCAGATTCAAAGTAAATATGATCCTTGGATAGGCATGTTAGATCACTGTAAGAATTACTCTGTGTGAAGGAGACCAGCAAAAGCACTGGGGGAAAAGTCCTGGAAAGCATGAGGCTGGATATGGAACAGCTGTGCTGTGTTGACCCCACAGCTGCAGCTGGTCATTTTGGTACCATATATTCTGTTTGCATTTTTGATGGCTGCTCATGTCGGGTACTTTGCAAATGCTCCTAAGCTATGCCTCTCGGTGCCATTTTGAGCAAGAGAGCATCTTCTGACACTCAGCTGTCTGCCTGCCTCCTGCCTCCTAAATCACTGCTCTTCTGTAATTGAGAAAGGGGCAAAATGGAGAAAATATAGTTTTCATCTTAAAAAAAAAACCAAGGGCTGTTATTCTGTCATGCGGGATATGGATCCTTTTCAGTTATTAGAAAAATAAATCAACACTAGTCATGGCGTGTGTTTTCCTTGTTAGAATTGTTGGTATCTGCTTTAGTAGTCACTCAAAGAAGTGCTAGATGCTTCCCTTTGTAGAAAAAAAGTTCTTGAAGGCTACAAAAGTTTATGGCTTCCACAATCTGTGCAAGTTGCATGGAAATAATGGCAGTAATGGGTGTAACTAGTGACACCGAAGTTATAAGCCAAACGCTACATTCCCTGCTGCAGAAGATCCTGATTGCGGCCTTGCTGCCCAGGGGTGTTTAGCAGGCCGCGGTCAGCAGGAATGCACTGGGAGCTTTTCCAAGTGTCTTGAGGTTGGAAATGAAGGCCGTGCCTTCTCTCACATTTGTCAAGTGCTTTTGATACTGCTACCCTGTTCAAAGTGTTCATGGTCAGAGGTGGATTTTTCCCCGACAGGTTCGTGCCTCTCTCAACGGCGGTAACTGGTTGCCAGGTTTCTTTAGTAACATGGGTCTTTTTACCCAAACTGCTTCTGCTCTGCTCTCTGTTTTAAGCTGTTATGCTGAGCTTGTGCACGAGCGGTTTGAGCACCTATAACTGCTCCCCGGCCCTCCACCTCTCCCTGGATTTTGACCTTTTTGCAGGTATGAATTTTGAGTTGGACATTGATAGAGTAGCAAACCACATCGGATGTTCTGGCTTGTGGGCAGAGCACGGGGGCAGGTTTTGTAGTAAATTACTCTGCTTTTTTGACAGAAGAGTCTCAGGAGCAGATGGCCCCGTGAGACCTTTCTACTACAGACTGACAGACTCAATAAACTAAACGTCTATTTAAGCAATGATGACGGATGGGGAGGGCATTTCTTAGCAGTTAATAACTGGTTGGAGGAGATGCGGGTCCAAGGGAAAGCCAGGGGCCTTTAACCTAGACGCTCATTAACTTCCAGGAAATCCCTGACTCGGATGTTGTTATTACTGATAAACTACTAATTTAAAATTGAGTGAGAGAGAGAAATTAATTACTTTTTTATGCACTGAAAAGTTAAAAGTCGAAATGAAGGTTGCTACCATGGCTGTATTAGCTTTCCGGCACTATTACGCTCTTCACAGGTAAAGACCATCTTATGCTAGTGTGTCCCTGGAGCGCTTTGTAGGAAAGACGTGCTGGTAAACCATCTTTCTGGACTCTTGACACACACGATAAGAGTCAACATCTCCCCTGCCGAGGCTTCCCAGCTAGCTGTGTATCCAAGACGGCTTTGTTGGTTGTTCTCTTGCTCCCTGTATTCCTTCCTTTGGTCTCCTTGAACGTTGCAGCTCTCACGTTCCCTTCCTGTGGCTGTTTTGTTGGGATTGCACCAAGGGCTCTCCTGCTATCCCAGTAAGAGAAGGTGTCTAATGGGTAGGGGTCAGCCCAGGGCTTTGCAAGCTTAATGCTCAGTTGCTTTCTGCTCCAAAATCTAAGCGTCGCCCTCAGCAGAACCGAGATGTAACTTTTGCTGGGTTGATTCTCCCCCATGCTCTGTGGCTAAATCATCACGTATCCAGAGGTTGAACAGTGGAGTGCGTGGGTATTACCACGCTAGGTAATATTAGAAATTTCATGGGGGGCAAAAAAAACACCTGATGGCAGTAGCAGAATGCAGCTGAGGCAGGAAGATGGCAGGAGTGTTTCGTATGACACCGTGTGGCAGGAGATACTGTAAAATGAACAATTACGTGAACATTTCAGATTGTACATCTTCCTAATTATCCTTTTAATTATTCATCTAAAACAAGTAAAATGACCCCTGACAGAGCCATAAATGATTTAGGTCCTATCAAATATTTATAAAATGCGACTCAGTCCCCACGGTACATTGCAACAGATGCACACAAATCTGTTTTCCTGTATTCATCATCTTGTGCCTTTTTTTTACCTATGGAATTTATAACTGATTGAGCGCAGGCTGCAGTATTTAAAATACTGCCAGACTCATTGAGAATTTTTTTAAGGAGAGGAGGAGGAAATGGTGCTTGGTAGCAAGGCAGATTGTGTGTAAAGAAGCTCCATTTGGCCAGCAGGAAACTCCCCTGCCAGTACAAGTGGTGCCTGAAAGCTGGATTTGCCCACCTCTGCCCTGGCAGACCCCTGGCTCAGTGGAAGGAGGGTGCCAGAATAACGAGAAGTGGCAGTAAAATGAAGCTCCTCCGTGCCAGGGTGCAACACAGAGCAGCTCAACGGTCGCTCTAAATTGCAGCCGAACTGGAGCGGATCTTCAGGACTGGAGGGCTGTTGCTAGCTCCCTTGCTCCTCATCTGCGCAGAGCTGTGGTGCTGCAGAGGCTGGCTCGTGCTTTTATCTGTGACTCCTTCCTTCAGTGAGGAATGGCTTCTGTGTCCCCACGAACATATTTGCTTCTCAGCACCGAATAAAAACCTTTTCCTCCCCTGCTCTCTTTGTACCGTTTGAGTTCCTCTTCCCGTTGGACGGCGTACTTCCAGAATGCCTTCAAATTCCAGCTGGGCATACTTTTTGCTAAAACTTTTTACTATGAGATCCTAACCACAGTAGATGAAAGTAGATCCCAACCCGGCTCCTCCTAGAAGAACCGGTTAGGTACAGGATTATTCTGTCCCCTCCTATTTTTAAGCAGAGTTTTATGATGGGGCCGGAAGAAGGGACTGACTAAGACACCGTACTGACCAACATGGGAGAGTGTGGGAAGGAGTGATGGCAGTCGTGGTCAGGCTGCAAGCTGGGATGTGGCAGACCTGAGGTCAGTTCCCAGTTCAGCTGTGAACGTCCTCTGCTCACCTTGGGCAGGTTTCTTAAAAGTGCTGTTCCCCAACTGTATAGTCGGACTGAGTTTTCCTGTTTCTCGCTCTTCATCCTGACTGCTCAGGTTGCAGGTTTTCTGGGTAGGAGCTGGCTCTTGCAATGGAAGCCTGACTTCTGTTGCTGCCAGTCAGAAAGGATTCAATTATACCTTTATGGCAAGGAGACAAGCGACAAATATCAGCCACATTGCTTAGTGCTGTTCCTGTTAGTAAACGATAATGATAATATCAGCTTATGCCGTGCCTCTTGTCGCTGAATGGAAAGCCAGTGTCACAACCCAGTGAGAAAACTTCCTGCCCCTGGGGCAGAGGGCTTGACCCAGTGATCTTGCAGGGGCCCTAATGTCTATGAAATCTGTGAAAACAGACCCTGAGACAGGAGTGGATTGGTTCAATCGGGAGTGGATTGGTTCAACAAATGCAGCAGTTGAACCTGGAGTTGAATCCAGTTCTCTCAAGTGCAGAGATGTATCCAGCC